GGGGTAAAGGGGCATTTGCCCCTCCCCCTCTGGAATCAGACGAGTACCAAAAAATTTAAAATTTGCTCTCATTTTTACTTCTTATTTAAAAAAATAAATATGTTTGTTAAATGTGAGAGAGCTAAAGTACAACACAACGTTCGAACATTTACTCCTCGGGGTTCGTACTAAAAATTTGGATCAAACCCCCCCCCCCTCTAGAAAAAATCCTGCGGACGCCCTTGAAAGCAGTCTAACTGCTGTACTAGAAAATTTAGGACTGTCAAATGGCAGGATAGAATTATTTTGTTCCCGTATGGATGATTATTTTGCGCGATCTACTTCTTTCCGAAGACATATATTTACGAAATATTTTGATAATGATGGTAAATAGTAACTGCAATGTTACCTGATGTGATTTTTTGTATTATTATAAAGACAATAATTTTATTCGGAGCGTCGTACACAAATCATGAAAAAAACAAGAGGTAGACACATCGGCATTAAAATAGTATTAAATCTTTGAATTTATAGAACAGATAAATTAGCGGAAAGAAGAAAAAAAAGAGTAATTAGAAAGTTTTAATCCCGTGTCACAGACCAAGTATTAGAACCGTGAGAATTAGAAACAGAGAGATACACACACACACACACAGTTTGTGTAGATTTCACATATCGGAATCTTGTTCGCGACCATATATATAAATGAACATTTTATTTTCACAAAAAAAATTTAGGAGATACGAATGTAAGACACTATCGATGCTTCCTTAATTAGTACATACAATATTTGTATTTTTATCATTTTCTAGATTTTTTATTATTTTGAATATACGCGCAATACATAATAAATAATAAAATTTATTTATTGCTTAAATGGAATAAAATTTCAAAAATTTTGTTTTAAAAAATAGTTGAAAAAATTAAATAAGTGATTAATATTTTGCTAGCGAGCTGTTGTATCTTATCTGCAGTGTCATATACCCGTACTCTATCTAGCGATCTTAGAAAAATTCTTTCTGTGCAGACATGTACACATATAAGTGCTAGGACAATTAATACAGCGATAAAATAGTACCTGTACACTGACCATATTGATGGTTTGCCTCTATATATATATATATATATATATATATATATATATATATATGGATGTTAAGTTTCGAATTCTCGATTCTTACGTATTTGAAATTAACATAGCGAAGGTGTAGGGAGACAGTAACGACTGTTTATTCCTTCAACTATCCCTCGGATCTATATGGACTGTAATTAATTACTCTTTTAAAGGCATCACTAATATATTTATATTATCTTTCTCGCATTTTTTCAGTTAAGTGCAAATAAGATTTAGAAAATTAAAAACACTGGTTACGTCAAATTGAAGCAGATATTCAATAAAATTTTCAAAATTCCATCAATATTTTTCTCAGAATTCCCTGAGAATACATTAAGATTTTTAAGTTGCGAATCCTACACTCTGTGATTACTATTTGCACATTTTGCTCAATTATTAGTTAAAACGTTATCGAAAAAAAGGTTTTTCTTTATTATGTCAATATCTATTTTAGGCTACAAGAATCTCAATATCAAAATGAAGATTTATATTTCTGGTTTTTCCAAAATCACGGATTCAAAGAAAAACGTCACTCGTAATGATTCAATAAGGATCCAAGGGATAAAAGATCGAGCACATGCACGTACGACTTACCATTATTTTCGATCAAGAAGATGATTAAATAACACACGTACGTTACATTTCGCATATAACAGAGAGATACAAAATATTTTGAGAGGCAAATTCGTGAATTACATAAGATGGATAAAAAGAGAGAGAGAGATATATATGTATATATATATATATACATACATACACACATACACACACATATATATACATACATAAACAAATATATTTAATAAAATTCCTTGACATATATATATATATTGTAAATTCGGAGAGATATTAATTAATCTATAATAGGATGGATTTCGATAATTTTGTTAATTAGCCGGTGATATTGAAAGAATACGAATTACCGATATATCAGTAGTTAGTAACCAAAGCCATAGCGACAAATAGATAATGAACGCAATGAATGAATAAAATTATTCTTACAACTGGAAATTTTAGGGAAGCGATAAAAAAAAAAGATATAACGTGTTATAACGTACAGAAATGTTAGAAATAAGGAGCTTCTACTATGTAAAATTTTCACTAAATGTTACTTCGTTAGGATATTTACGCTCACGTAATTATTTATTTAAAGAATACTGCATATAATGCTATTCCTTAAGAATTACCAAGCGACAGATAGCGGAAACTGAACGATGAAAGAGCATTCTTGTTATATTGCCAGAAACTCGTTGTGAAAGACATGAACGTTAATTTATTCTTTATAGTTGAGATCTATGTATTAACGAGAAGTATTAGGGGAGAAGAGCATAGGAGTTTCGTATAAATATTAATTGGAACTGTACTAGCAGCTAAGTCTTGTAATTACGAAAAGCTGTATATAATGTGTATAACGTATTATACATATATGTTACTTTTGCGTTCGCGAAATTTTCGTTTTAGTCATTTTTTATATAAATGCAGCATTGTGAGAATAATTTATAATTATAAACATATTTAATTTACCTGTATCTATAAAAGCAACTAGCCAAACTTCTGTAAATAGACCGTCTCATAATAAAACTATCTAAGGAAAGATATGTAGATACTTACCTAAAAATTTTTATATCCCGAGCGTACTGACTTTGTTCGAAATGAATGAGAAATTCAAAAGTGAATAACAAATTTTCATATGTATAACCTTAACATTATTACAATGTAAGGTATAAACTGTACATTTTTACGTGTAAAAACAAATAACATATTTTAAATACATTCTTTTATTGTCAATGTTTTAAGTATCGAATTAATATGACAACGTAAGTAGTCACAATTACATCGGAAGATAATAATAGAAAATAGTTGAAAATAAAACTCGTTTGGATGATACAAAAACACTTTCATTTTTAAATTCTCTCTTCAACTATTGTTTAATTGATGACTTTTTCAATCAAATACAACATTAAATGGCTTTATAAATGCTTCGTTTAATTAAAAACTGTTCCTTTTTTTATATAACATATAAGTAATATCAAACAATACTTAATATACAACAGTCTATAGGTGAATATTAATTTTTTTATGTTCCTATGACAATAACATAAACGTGAACGTGGATGCGCCTTTCTTATCTATGCACGCATCTATACATTAAAATATGAATTTATTATAAAATAGTGGTATCACGTTATGTCAAAGTTATTCTTCAGGCACATGTGAAAAACATTAAAATAGGACTCCAATTAGCTTTCCAACATGACGGCACAATGATAATATGAACAAAGCGAAGCAAACGTTTTTACTTTCATTTATCGATGCAAAAAAATATTAGAATATCAAAATAGAGATATTAAAGGATTATTTTTATTTATATTTTATCAAAGAATAACTCTTGATAGTATATATTGAATAAATTATTCTTTCTTAATTTGTTTTAGCTAAAATAACTTTTTTCTATAATGTATACGTTTTTCAGTCAAATTATTTCTATTTTTTATTTTCAATCGTTACAAAATTTCTTTGCGATATAAAAATAGAAATAGAAATTTCCTAGCTATTATTCTTACATTATTACGAGATGATTCAAAAGCAAGCCAGAGTCATCATTTGCATACTAACTTTTGTATAACATTTATGATTAAAAAATTTATTCAAAATACATTGTGCTTCTCTAGTTTTGACAAGAATATTTGCTTCACTTTTATCCACACGATTTACGCCGATTATGACTCGAGATTTCTATTGACTTTTGACACGTAATCTTAACCCCGTAGGACATTCACAAATACAGATCACGTCTCGATATGGCCTTGCAATTGACCTACTATCTTCCGTACCCAACCAGTTTGGCTTTGTCCTGCAGAAACATCGTCTCTATCCACCTCGATATTCCGATTACAATCATTCGATGAACCATCCTGATGTGTCACATTCACCAATCTCGCGGTAACCCTGGTCTCCGAATTACTAGTAACGTGTCCCCTTGCCAAAAGCGACTTTATTTTCAAGTAATCCGGCTTCTGCGCAACGCTTGGCTTGTACTTGGTCGACGAGATGTCTTGTTTCTTTCTAGCAGGTACCGGCGGTGCAATTTTGGTCTTCGCAGTCGGCGTTGCTGTTGTCATCATCGTCGTCCTCGTCCTCGTTGTCGTCGCCGGCGTCGACTGTCGTATCACGATTACCTCATCGACATCGCTGAATATTGCACTGTCCCGAAACGCCTCGTCCACATCAGCGTCCGCGTAATTTTCGATAGTCTCAAAGCTCCTCTCATAGAAGCTATCCGTTTCGCTCTCGTGACGCTCTGTGTCTCTGTTGCTATCTGTCTCTTCTTCGCAGTCTCTCCTCTTCCCCGACTCGGCAATATTCTCGGACTGATTAATGTCAACGGAGGAGGAGTGCGCGCGTTTGCTCTCGAACAGAATCCTCGGGTCGGCATAATCCGACTGAGCAATTCTAGCACCCAGACTGGAACTGCCTTGCTTGTAGTAGAGTTGAGGTACCCGTTGATTATTCGAGTAACCTGTCAGCTCCTCCACGTCCGAGGACGGTGGTTCTTTCGCGTGCTGTTTCGTTTGCTTCGTTCGCCTCTTTGGATACTTGCCTCCGGAGCTCAGCGAGCGGAAGTAGCGTGTCCGCTCGACCTCGTCGTTGCATTCAAGCGTCTCCGTGCTCATGGTATTTCTCAGACGGCCCTGCAAACGACTGCCCGCCTTGAAGACATTCCGGAAAATCGTGCTGCCACTGCCGTTCGCTCGATAGATCTTGTGATCTGGATGAATATTCGCACTGTCACTAGCAGATATGGATCGCACGTCGGAGTAAGTGTCGTCAGTCAATCGTGTGTCCTCCAACGAGCAGAAGAAAGTTGACGTGCTGGAACTTGTCGAGACGGTGGGCATTGGAAACTTGGCAATTCTACCTTCCGGCTGACACGACGATGCATACCTCTCCATGTCCTCTAAATTGATCTCCGCCGGTTTGTCGGACGCGATCGTGAACGGCCGCTCGCTCATCGGCTTACCGTCTCGTTGCAAGAAGCGCGACTTGGTCACGCACGTCGGTTGGGAGTTTGGACTGATTTGGAAGCTGCGCGGCAGTGAACCACATTTAGGCGGGGAAGTGGGCAGATCTTCGCACAGCTTGGTAAGCCAAACGGCAGGCCGTGTGGGACTATCGTTGCCGTCGACATCGCCCTTCACTGTCTGCAGTCCTTCCCAAACGTGCTGCAGATTATCATAGTTGCCGAAGCCCTTGGACTCAGCATCTTCGGCAATATTCGCGTCACTTCTCTCGTCGTCGTTACATTCTTTCGATCCATCCTTTTCGATCCATTCTGTCTTTACAGAATTGATAGAATTGATCTCCTTTTGCTCTACTGCCCGATGATTTAACGCTGCCGGAGATGCAATGGTTTCCTCGTTGTCAGTCGACGTTGAATTCTCGCGGATACGCAGCGCCGTCTTGATTACCTTGCTGTCGGTGACGATGCTCTGTCGTTTGAACGCTTCGAAAAGAGCTCGCTTCTCGTGCAACTGATTCGTCTTACCGTTATGCGCGATCGTTTCCGTCGATTTCTGACTGTGAGTAGTCTTTAAGTTATCATAAAGGAGTTGCAGCGGTTGTTGGTTCTCCCGAGCCGGTGCCGAGGATAATAAATTCCACGCGTTGTTCGTCCTGTTCAGTCGCTGCTCCCGATGTATCGCTCGAGCACGTCCCAATCTATTATTGTTATTATTGTTGTGGCTGGTCGAGCTGGTGAGATAATTAGCGTTCTCCGAATCACTTTCATCCGACGTGTCTGCTGAGATACGTTTGTTGAAGCGCTGTTGTCGCACGTTGATAATGCTGTTGGTCCGCTGTTTCTCCAGCAGTTTTTGAAATTCTTGATTCTGCATGAGAATGTGACTGACAATCTCTTCCACCGTTTGCGTTGGATTAGCTTGTTGTTCGTTATTGTCTTTGGCTTCGACCGGTGGCGAAGAAGTCAACGTTGCCATTTGATTCTCCTCGTTAGAGTTATGAATCTCGGCTGCTTCTTCAGTCTCGATCATAGTAGATTGAACATCATTAGCAGTAGCTTCCTTTTGCTCCTCGTCCGAATGGTTAAGACACACGTACGACTGGAAGCCTGGCTCGGATTTTCGTCTCCAACCGGTAAATCGATCCTAAATGCAGATTTGTCAAAATTATATATTTCGTTGCTTTTCGCATGATAAATTGTTATATTTTTAAACAGATTTTTAAAAACAAATCTAATAATTTGTACATTCAATAATTTCTATGGTGATTAATGATTGTCAAATAATAATTTTTTGTAATTTTAAAACATTTTTTATTTTTATTTATACTATAATAGCTTAAAAAAAATATCAAAGTTAACAAAGTGAAACGAAAGAATAGTAAGAATTAAAAGGATATAAAATAATTAAAAGAATCAAAATTTAAAAAATTGGAATTAATAAAACGTATAATTTAAAAAGTAAATTAATAGTTTAATAAATAGAAATAATTTTTTAGAAAACGCATTATAATACACACACACTTACCTTAACTTTTGAAGCGCGTATATCCGAAGACCTGTTAAAAGTTGGCTCCCTGGAGTCATTAACGTCCTCATTGTCATTTTTGCAGGACGATGCAGGTGAATCCTAATGACGAAAGGAAAATTTGTAAAATTTTGTTTTACAAAAAGAGAAAGCAAAGAAAAAAAAGAGAAAAATTCTCTAGAATTCACCTCCATTGTAGTATCAGATTTCCTGCCGCCCTTCTTAAACTTTTGTCTCAGACTAGTTTCAGATCTACGTCTCTCCTTTTCCTGTTTGCGTTTTTCCAAATATTCCGGAGGGGCAGAGTGTTTCTTTGCCGAGCCTCTATCTGTCAACGCGTCATCTATTTGAAATATCAAATGCATTAGTTTTCGATCGATTTCGTGAATTAAAAGTAAATATTCGACATGTTAAATTGTCATTTGTACCTTCTTGTTGCGTTTGACCCAATTGTAACACTAATTGTCTCGCATGCGACGGTATAACCGCATTATAATTCTCTAATATCACTCTCTTTATTTGTAAGGTCCATTCTCTTTTTTGTTCTAAATTACGTGCCTGTGAAAGACGTAGATAGATACGACTATTAAATGAGAATACAATCTTTGCATATACATTTAAGGCCTGCTTTTCAATCAGTAAGATATCTCAATGACACTTACTTGTAATGTGTACTGCAACCGAGGATTATCAAAAGGTATTACGTGAAAGCTAAGTGGCTCTCCTGGGATACTTTCAATTAGCATTAGATTTGAACACTAGAAGCACAAGAAAATAAATAAAGTACTTTATGTACATATACAATTATATTTATTTTTTAAAGGACTAGTAATTAAATATGTGTAAAATATGTTTGAGAAATCAAAATAACTTTAACAAAATTTTCAAATATCCATCACATTAAACGAAGAACATGATATAAATAATTTTTAAAAGGTCGTATAAAGAAGAAGCAAAAAATTGTGATAAAAAATCGTACCATAATATGAGCTTTGTAGACAAGAAGGCCATCCTCCTTCTTCTTCGTTAGAAGAAGCATTCGATCAAAGAGGAAGGCGTGCCTCGGAGCCTTGGCTCCTCGCATCCTAAATCGACCCTCTGCGATCAATTCGCCGCTTGTAGTTAGGTCTGGTCCCATCCAACCGTACAGAAGCGATTGAATTTCTTGAACGCGTACGGCGTGCTCATGTCGTCTCTTCATAGCATTAATGTGTTGTGCAATGCCAGTCATCGCGGCAAGCGCAGCCTCGATGGCACTTGTACCTTCAGCCTCATTTTCTCTCAAATCACAATCGGCGCCATACTCCTTTGATAAATTCTCCAGGAGCAAGTGATATTTAAGGATCCTTTGGACAGGCTTCAAAAGGAAGGATCCGAGCGGCAGCGCGTGCCTCAGGGCCGTTTGTCGTTCGCGGAAGGAGGACGCGATTTCCTCCCGGCTCATTAAATCGGTCAGCACTGAGACCGTCCTTGGATAATTGGTGCAGTACTCGGTATACACTTTGAATCCCGAATTATGCTTAATGAATGTATTCGCAACGCAAACGGGATCGAGACCGCATTTCTCTATCTCCCACAGAAATTCTCTATTAAACTCGAAGATATCCTCGATATTGCTAAACAGATCGCCGAGGTGCAATCGACGTGCGAACGACGGTGGATTGTCTCTCCAGAATATGAGATAGCCTTGAATAACTTGACGCAAATGCTCGACATATATCGCCTCCGTGTCCACGATTTCAAGGAGCACCCTCTCGACGGGATTACGATGCGGATCGCAGTAGCGTGGCCTACGGCATAGAGGGTCCTCTTCAGCGCTGTCCCTTCTTTGTCCGTTGTCGTCGTTCAAGACCCGACAGCTAGCTTCTGAAACCGTCACGACTCCACTGTCCGCGGAACCCTGGGAGCTGGCGCAAGTATCAGCGAGAGATTCAACGGATGCCAAGTAGGGATTGGTAGCGCAGGTGTTGCCCTGATTGCTACAGCTACTGGAAGACGTGCTCGACGCGATAGAACTTCCCGAGAGAGGTCTGCCGCCGTTCCTGCGTCGCTTATTGTACCTGAGCGGAGTGGTGAGACCGTTGGTCTCCCGCCTCTCATATATCGACTTGCCAGTGGTTTCCCCGTTTCCCTCGTGCTCCAACGCCATTGCTGGGATGACTGTCTCCAACATGGTATTATTGATGGCATCCGTAACGACCTCGTCGTCGTACTCGCCTTCCAGTTCCTTACTCTTCGGCATGTCCTGGTGTACAGGCTTGGCCAAATCGCCGTTTGTGCAGAGCTGACCGAACACGGAGCTACGATGGGCAACCGGTACCATGCTCAGACGCTTCTGCAGGACTGCGGATATGCCGCAGGACGATGATAGGACCACGCGATCGCCTTCGTAACCATTGCTGCGACGCGCCAACTCGTCAAACATGCCCAACAGTTGCGGAACTAAATCCGTACTGGTGCCTAAAAACGAAAAAACCCATCTTGATTAAGAGATATGTGAGAGTTGTGTTATTAAATATCAATGAAATTTAATTATTAGATTCAGCGCAATAATTATATCAGATATATAATTAACAATACTTTTGTTATAAATAATATATCTACGATTTCAAGGCGATTCCTTAAGTTTTTTTTAATTGCTTAGCATATTTGCCAACACAATTTATTTCGAACTTAATTCTCTTTAAGTAAATATTTCTTCTAACAGACTCGATATGTTTCCTGATGTTTCATTACATGATTTGTCATACGAATTTTTTCACTCGGTTCACTCGTTCGAGCTCGTCGTAAATCAGCAATATTATAACAATTGGCAATACAGACGCTTCTGACAGAGAGAATGCCAGTGGAGGAAATACACAGACGAAATCTATTCTTATTAACATTAATAATAACCTTCAATTCACGCGAGAAAGACAATGACTTCGCGTGAAAATGCTGTCAACTGCACTTTCTTTCGTGTAACAATCAATCATTCCCGAGGGTATTAAAAGATTCTGAGAAGACCGCCTGGAAATTACCGTGCCTTCCTGGCACTCAACTTAATTCACCGAATGCAATAATTAATAAATGATCTCACGCGAATCGTAATTGCCATGGCAACGTAATGAAAATTAATTTTTCTCACTCTACGCCACATAACACATCAAAGAAATTAAATTTTGCGCGTCTCAACATGCGTGTCTCACTGTATATATAATAACGAATATTTTTAAACACACTTGTGTATTTTATATGATATCTTTTCAGCTACGCGGATAAATTTTGAATTGACGTATTTTTGAAAGTCGTCACATAACTATTCTTAGGCAATTATTTTTACACAAATATGTGTTTTATATATATTATTCAATATATAAACCAATCAAGATATATCGAGATATTAAAAACTTTTCGAAATTATTTATGAAATCCTCGTATATGTACATGTTTCAACATTTAATGGCACTTGCAAAATTTTTACTGTTTTTCTTTAGAAATCTCGTTTTCAGTATTATATAATTATCGTTTGATATAAATTTCTTCAAAAAAGCAAAAGCGATCGTGAAATTATCAAAGATTATGTTATTGTGCGTTAGAATATATAATGTTTTACGGGACACCCTATAGGCATACAAAACAGTAAGAAATTAATTAGTACTCATATATTCCCGTTTATATCAAACCAATAAATTTACACGAGGTAACAGGATGCTCCTATTGACATATATCCGCGATATTTCATAAATCATTAAAAATCGTCGATAAGAAATATCGTTGCTGCCGTTGGCTGCGTTTATCGTTAATGCGATCGCCTCCAATTAACTCGCTACCCGTTTATCGGCGCTAAAAGATTGGCGGACAGCTTGCGTCGCGATCCGATTACACGCACACAGACAAAAAACACGATGTAATTACACAAATATGCACACATATGCATATAGGCTCACGAATGCTGATATTTTTGTGTATGTATAGAGTAGTCCCAAGCTTATATAGTCTTATTTTTTAATAGTCAGGTTCTGTGACAAATATGAGGAAAGAGAGAAAAAGAGAAAAGAAATTATTGTTTAACGAGAGTATCGAATGGCAGATTTAAATCTGTGATTAAAAATCGATGATTAAAAACTGACTGCTTTCCTTCTTCGTGTCGAGACGTCTATCGAAGGAGTGACGCATTAAAAAAAAATAGAACAAATCCAAAAACACTCTGTGTACATAAATCGCGCATTAAAAAAAAAAACAAATCCAAAAACACTGTGTACCTAAATCGCGCCCCATCGTTCGACCGACCGTCGCGCGTCGTAAATGCGGTTACATCTCGCGATTTCGCTCTCCCGTGCACACGTGTGTGGAAGTATAGTCGATCGTGCACGGCAAAACAAACGAGCGGGACGGTGGTTTCCAATTTCCGCGGCGGCAGACGTGAAATCAACGTCCGTACCGCGCGGGTACCGGTCGCGGTGTGCGTGACCGTGCATTTACGCGCGCGCTGCACCCGCGGTACCGCCGCGCCGCTTGAGATTTCTCTATGGTCACCCACGGAGTTGCCACTGCAGCGTGAATATACACCCAGTCGGACCGACTCTAAGCCCTTAATTCGCCGTGTCTTTCTCCCTCCGGATTTACAAGTCGCAATATCATCTCGACTGTCGCAGTCTCTCGACTTTTGCCTCCTAATGCACGTGGCTGGAACGCTTCTCTAATAATAGGACAAGCTACAAGCTTTCATCCGTGCGACCCAGCTACCTCGTCTCATCCATTCACACTTGGATATATATTGCGCTTTATTTAGTAATTTTACAAAAAGAAGATATTTCTTTAATTATTTATCATACACTTTACTGACTAAAAAATTTTCGACGTTAGAAGCGTAAGAGGAAAATGTCTGGTGCCTATATAATCAAATTTTTACAGAAGAATTTATTATTATAGAGCGCGCTGTTGAAATTTGAGACTCTTACGAAATATCCTCCTGCATATTGTTTTGAGAACAGGGAAACTGTTTCAGTTTAGTTTCACCAACGAACACGCGCGCGATACATTTTAACATAACACATAAATACGAATGACATAAAACGGATTTTTCACGGAGAAAATAACAGCGTTTTATTTGTGGTCTTCCGGCGTGTGAAGAAGCTTAAGGGTTTACGAGCGAACACTTTGATCTTCGAGTTATTATGTCTATGCCTGTGTGTTCTCGTCCTAAGGTTCGAACGTGTCAGTTCTTAAAATGTACCGCCGTCATGGTCGAATTCTCTTGAAATGTATATACGATCAAAAATAATATCTTACAAATGCTGATCATTAAACATTTTATAATAAAAATAAATTTAAAAATACCACTGTATGACAAAATTATGTTAAGGAATAGTATTATGTCAGAGAATTTAGAACAATATGGTAACTGGGAAACATTTTCCATATTAGCTGTAACTGGACCATCGATATTTGGGATGGCAGTAACAATTAAGCAATTATTCAAAGGAAATAAATTGATAAAGAGATAAAAGGAGAATGTGTAAAAGAAAAAAAAGAAAAAGAAAACAGACAGAGAGAGAGAGAGAGAGAGAGAGAGAGAGAGAGAGAGAGAAAGAGAGACAAATTCTAAAAATGAAAAAGAAATGGCGTTCAGTTATTGAGAAAATTTTCAAGTGCTTTCGGCACCGCGGGCATGCCTGCATGCCAACACGTTCCTATGAATCATGATTCCGCATAGGCGTGGACATGCGCTTGCATTTGCGTCCGACGAAAGGCTACAACGGACTCGCCGCATAAATCTGCATTGCGAATGAGAGACGGGGGCATTTCTGTGAGAGGACAACTCGCAGCAAGTCGATAATTCCTTTACGTAGCAATACTCAACTAACGTTTCGCGGCGAATTAGGGTCAATTGCACCGACGGCATCTCCGGTCAATTAACTCTAACGATTTCCTGTTTCCTTGGGGAATATTTAGCTACGTCAAAGATTTAGCTAACATTATTTATGCTAACCAAGGCCAATAAAAGAGATTCAGTCAAATCAATGTAATTTAATTAGCGCCATGAAAATTACTAATTAAATATCAAAATTTTGCCAATAAAATATCTTGTTTAATATAAAAATAATTAAGTAATATTTCGGAAATTCCTTTTAACATTTATTGTTGTAGGTTTTCTAGCAGCAACTTTCCTATAAATATCTACTAATATCTATTTAAATGTTAGACATTTATATTTATTGTTAATGATACTTTTCAGTAATAATATTATAACTATTATATTAATATTATCAATGTCCTTTCTCCGAATATTCGATAAGATTGAAAGACACGTCGCTAAAGGCGATAGTTACCGTTAACTGGCTGATATCCAAAGTTCGGGAAAGCATGGGAAGAAGGCACAGGCCTGTAATTGTATCGCGTCCCGCGAATTCTCGGCGAGCGTGCTGCTCTGGAAACCGATCACGCGTAGTAACGTGCGGTACGTTCTGTTCGGAAAATCGCGCCGCGAGAGCAGCCTGCAGTCAGAAAGGAAATCGGGAGAAGAGCCGCAACATTTTATGCACCTCACGTAGCCGCAACGACAAGTGCAAGGACCGCATGTGTCGCGGCCGCTGCGAGCCGCTGCACCCCGGAATTCCAGAGTGGCTCTTCCTTTTGTGGCTGTTATCTCTGTTCCCAGAGATATACCCGGAAATACACTAACGTTCCAGGAGGTGTACATTCCAAGGCGCGCTCGGAAGCAACCCCGCCAAAGATAAAAACGGACGCATGAAGATAACGAGTGAAGGGACTCGTCGACAATAATATACCTACCGTCAAGTGCATGTTACAAGTAGATAAAAGATAACGAATGATCGACAAGCTAAATTTTATATGTCTCGTAATATGGAATTTATACCAAGTCACCAATAAATTTAGAAAAAAAGCTGATTTAAAATATAAAACGGTAATAAAAGAATTAACTATAATAATAACTTCAATAAATAAATAGATTTATGCGTTTTGTTTGAGAGGTGACATGTCAGAGCAGACATTTTTCAATATAAAATATTCTATCTCCGAATCTTTGGGAAAATAATATTTTCATATTCGGATATTCACCATTTCCGCTTTCAGATCGCTTTCGCGATCCTCGCTTGATTGTGCAAATCTTGCAACATCGCGATACAATGAGATAATGAGGTACAGCAAATGAGACAGAGCAAATAGCGCTGCCCTGCTAATATTTGATCTGAGATAACACAAATCAAAACTCGCACAAACGCTTTATTTTCAAACGAATATCGGAAGATTCAATTAAATCGATGATCCCGAGTAATATCTGAATGCCCGTTCAATTAAAAAATTAAATCACATTTTATCTTATGTGCACTAACGTTGTAGTATCTTCATCAGTTATTCGGAGTATACAAATAGAACTATGCGACTCTTGCACTGTCTTATCATTCTCAAAACATTGACTAGCTTTGTTAACTTAAGAAACTCTCCCAAAATTTTTTCATTCTACTTGATATTCATTAAACTAGAATCAATTTTTGTTTAACAAGAAAATTTCATTAAATTTGTGGATTTATACAAATCAAAATTATTAATTATTATATACATACATAATAGTTATATTCACTAATAACTTGCCAAAGATTCAGTATTTCTCATTCACATCGCAGATTTAAATAACACGCGCGTTAATAGACAATTTTACGTAAAGTTAATATCTAGCTAATAGTAAGCTAGTTAATATCTGAAAAATGAGTATTTCTTAACGAATATTTTATTTGCGTTTTTCTTTGACGGAACGACGACAGAATTGTTAAAATTGTTTCTATTAAGTCAGTAAGCTTAGAGAGATTTACAAAAGCCACAGACTCGATAAATATTTATACAGTCGCCCACGATTGATTATCTTCAGGATTATCGTCAGGTGCATCGAGCAGTCTATCTCCGATAAGTGATTTCTGGGTAACGCGTACGACGTCGAGTTGTCGTCGTAAAAACTGATGGAAGAAATATTTTACGTTCAGCACCTGAATAAACTTTTCTAATAAAAGTGACGATGTCTGAAACGCACTCTCCCCACTGTATCCTAAAGTCACGCGAGGAAAACATTAGATTACTCAGCGAATTTGAGAAATTCGTGCGAAACGGAAACCTAAATATCTTGTCTTGACATTAGAATATGTGCATAATATGTATTCCTCCCAAAGATCGCAACGAGAGAAACGAGATAGCTCCTAATGTACGTTTCTTCTAAGGCACACGAAATATTTTACGAGCACACAGCAACAATAATAATTACATAATACAATGTGCGACCAGTTTTACAAAATAAGCAATGTTTTCGGAATTGTTCTTGGGATAAATATCGATTGGCCTATAGAATTGCAAATATCAAGCGAGAAATAATTAATAAATCAAATGAAATAGAAAATAATGACTCATCTACACAGGCAAACTATAAAGATTTAATTCTGTAAAAGTATCTAGATTTTGACCAAAAACTGGAAAAACGATTAACATCTCTAATACATTTCATGTGGACGATAGGTATCCTGATGCGAATGACAATAACTTACTCCTGTTTCACTTTCACCCTTGGACCGTTAATGGCCTTATCGTTTCATCACCCGGCCGGTCACGCACCGCCTCGTTTTAATCCGTTCGTTTCTGCGTTGATCACTCGTAGCAAATCGTTGAAACGATCGTCAATCGTCCCATTCGCGTGAACTTCCGTTAATTTCCGCGCGACACGCCTGAACCGGAATACACAAAGCGGTCGCTCTTCGAGAAAATCCGTTTCTCCGTAACGATTGTACCGTCACGTTCACGTGACATCATGAGTAATGCCAGGATCTTACGCTCTTCGCGAAACAAGGAGCATACATTAGGAGTTTTCAGCCTCGTAACACAATTAAATCCAGCACAAGATATTGCGAATCACATAGAGTAAAATAAACGGCAGAATTAATGTCTCAAAATTATATTTGAACCACTGTCGAAAAGTATCTCTCTCGATGTAAGTACCTAAATAAAGGTACCTAAATCGCGTGGGCAGTGAATGCGTGTTCGAATTCCTCGCCCTTGCGCACACGTCACACCGATACGCGTGATAAGGGAGATAAGTAAGAGTCGCTGTTTTCCTATCGTTCGTCAATTATCGATCGATAGTTGGAACGTGTTCCACCGTTCGAAGATGTGCCGCACGGGTAAAAAGAGAGAAGGAAAGACGCGCGACATCGCCACGAGTTGGTCTCAGTCGTCAGGTAGATAGACATAGGCTGAGCGACGAGCAGCCTTCGCTGCTTGAGCAACAGGTAGATACTGGCGGCGAGAGGCGATCGAGGATGGGAACGGAGCGAGTGTGCCAACTCTCGGATGGACGGCCACGGGATCGAAATGCCTGGATGCCAGAGCGACTCGTTAAGTCGGCGTCCACAACGGAGCTAGGAAGGCGGAGCGGGTGTCGGATCGCGATAAGCGCCCGTCGAGCGCATTCCTATCTGTCGTCCTACGTCGCCGGATAATCGCGTCGAATAACCGACATTTATTGACAGTCGCGAGTGTGACTCGGCTCGGGAATTAGAGGTGTGGTAATTGCAGCGCCGGCGTGATTATCTATACGCGATAGAACGCGATGGGAAATTCAACGTCGGAACGTCGCGATATGCGGAGAACGTGTACATTGTTTTGTCGCGTGGTGGGGTTACATTATCGCGATAGTCGAAAGACTTCTCTCGTTTAAGATCCATCAAGAATCACACATACGAAACGTGTGTGAAACTAATATTATAAATATAACATAAAAGGGAGAGAAAGGTTTTATTATGAAATAATTATTTTTGCATAAATAGAGAGAGAGAGAGAGAGAGAGAGACTCTTATTTCTGTCATATTAATAAAATATGAATTCCGTTTTTTAAGGGCGATTAAATGAGAAAAATGAAAAAGGCGTATTAAGCAACTCCACGTAATATGGAGACTAACACGTTAAGCCAAAAACGACAATTGCATAATATGTTTATGGTATGGTTGCATGTCGATCTGATTAAAAACTTGAGTATTGAAACGTTATATTAATATATCATGGATCAATGTACAACAGAACATCTGCAAAGTAATTTATCACTGATGAATTTTCGATAATTTAATCTTGCGTGTATAATAAATGCAATGACTGATATGTTAAGAAATATGTAGCATTAACTTATCATAATAGAACGAGATAAATTTATCATAAACTTATTTATTATTTTTTATTAAATAATCGATTGATTGCATACAATAAACTTTGAAAAATAAGTAATAATGATTCTCTCGCCGAATATGTAATAGAAATTAATATTCAGCTATAATTCATAGATTATGAATAAATGATTATATGATCTATGAGTTATTTATCGAAATTGTAGCAACTTTGCTGTTCTCTCTTATCTTTTAAATTAAATATCGATTAAATTTTAAATAAAATACTGGATTTTAATAATTGAATATCTTTTTTTAATCTCTAATTGTTTGTTGATTGAATTTATTCCAAATTTCAGTTTTTTTAAAATGTGTTTTCAAAGAGATTTTATAATTGATTCTTATTTTAAGCAAAGATACACTCTATAATTTTATCTTCTCTCGTCACAAAATTATGTTAATTTTTATATTAACTTTCTTTTTAAAATCGGAAACACATTAGATTCTCTCTCGAGTTTCAATCAGGTGCAGCGCGAATACAGAAACACTCCTTTGTGTGCGCAATTCGTTCAGAGATCATTACTTTTGTACAAAGAAGAACCGATATAAAATTATGAGCTAATTGTAATATTTTTTACTTAAAAAAATGTCCGTTTGCTTTATCAAAATCTATTAAAACATATATTAATACAATTTTTCTTTTTGCGGCTTAAACTAGGCGTGCTTTATCTTTTCCTTTTTTTTTAAAGATAATTTGATAAGCTTATAAGCTACGCCCTATTCCTAGGTGTGAAAGCTGCTTCAGTGCGTACGCGCGGGAGGTGGGAGGTTCAATCGTCGCAATGAATTACAACGAACCAGTCACTGAGAGTGACTCACCGAGTACTCTAACCACCGGCTGCTGCCGCTGGCCGCTGTCGCACGGCGCGCGTCACACGCCGATAAAAGACTCTCTCGCGGCTCTCCTTGCTCTGGAAAGAGGAATTTGAACCGCTCGAGAGGGAAGTGAATAACACGAACCGAGCATTAGGCGGATGCCAGGGGGTCCCGGACTCTCTACCCGCGCCCGCGCTCGCGCCCCGCGTCCAGCCTGGACCGGTTCGACGTTCGACCGCGAATTATATGAATCATCGAAATATCGTATCGGAGAGTCTATAAGCGCGCTAACGCTAGATTCCAAGTAAAATCAAGGGCCTAACGGTATCCTCGGGAAATACTGAGAGCACGTTTGTTCACGATTATAGCGATTATAGCAATGACGAGGGCACTTGCGCTAAGTGCATGATGGACTTGACGGTGAAATGATAAGCTGAATTTGTCCCCTATATTAGACACACTTTCGGAAAGTACATTGAAAACGAAAAGTTTCCACGGATAAAGCAAATCCATCATGAGAATATTGTGTATGTGTGACTCTTATTATCCGATCAAATAATCTCGGAAGAATTATCTTTAATATAAACGATCGCCTATCAAGTCTAAATTAGTCGCATAAATTGAGAATTCATATAAATTGACGGTAATCTATCGTATACAATAAAGAAAGTTAATATCTGAAAAAGAATCTTAAAAAATTTTTGTTTGCACTGGTTTAATAACATTGTAAACTATCATTACATATTGCGAAAAGATAATTTTTTATCCTGACTTTTATTTTGACTAATTGTAAAATTCATTTTATTGATTATTTTATTTTATTATTAAAGCGTTATTTGTTACTAGAGACTCCCAAAATTTGGACCAAAATGTCTAATAAATCTTGATCATTATTATTTAATTAATTAACAGATCCTGCGATTACTATTATATATTTTGCGTACTGGCATATTGCCAATCATTTTATTATCTCTGTTTTCATCTTCAATTGTAGAGATTTGAAGGACTATTTCAAGGAACAATTACTTCGATAGGTTTCGCATAAAGAACTCTATAAATATCTTTAAGCTGTTCCTGAACGATGCGTATCGTATAAATCTGCAGTCTCGCGCAAAGTTACCACGTAAATCATTTAAAATTATTAATATATCTCGGTGATCCCACGGTTTTCAGAATACAGCGAGTCGCACGTATGTATATACTACGTGTCTATGACGAGAAACGTATGTGGTATTCGCTAATTGACAGTCAAAGGGTAAACGCAGCAATTCGTAAACGGCGCGTGCGTCTGTTTGCTCAGCTCGACGCGGCATTAATTATGTTACAAGCGTACTGTTATATTTAGCGGCGTCGGGATACGCGTGCATCCGTACACGCACACGCGGGGATTTTCCGATGAACCGCTTCGCACGCGAATTCCTTGCCACGTACAACGCGAATATTTCATGCAACGCTCTCTTGCGCAGTCGAGGACACGCGGATGTCGTAAGAATCGCGCGTCTTTCGATCCGTTCAACACGATGTCATCCAAGTTACTCAAGGTTAAAGAAATGCATTCTCCCTCGAATTGAATGGCTCTTGCACGGAAATTTGCATCGCGGATTGAAGAACGAACTGCGAAACGGAGCTCGCAATTCTGTTGTAAAACCGGCAATTCTACAAATTCAATGTATGTTTGAGTCGAGAATGTTTCCACGTGTATTATATTATCTCGTATTCCCGCATTATATGATTACGAATCACCGAGAATGAACTAACAAATGCCGTGCTCAGTTTCGTTCGTTTTCATCGCGGAGAGTAAATCGACTTGCCGAAGGCTCCAAATTGAGTCTTATTATTTTCCATGCGCGGAAGCGCTTAAACTCAAGAGATCGATGCGTGTCGATGCACCGAGTATATGCAGTACGCGGCCCGATACCTTCTGTACCTTTCACTCCGACTCCGATAAGGAATTATATTTAAATCAACGACACGTAACGTCGCGCAGCTGGGAGGAATGAAGAAATCGCCACCGTGCGTTTATCGCGATTTATCCGCATTCGCGGAATGCGATATCGTAATTGCATTTATACAGAAGGACACACACTTCTCTCTCTCTCTCTCTCTCTCTCTCTCTCTCTCTCTCTCTCTCTTTCTCTCTCTCTCTCTTCGACATATATCCCCTCACTATTCAATTTTCCAGCTCGAGGAACACACATTTAACGACACGAAAGTACCGGAGCCATGAATTATCTTCTTTTATTCCTTATTTTTGCAATTATACGAAAACTGTGTGTTGTAAAAGCGGTGAGTAATCGTTCTGGAAGCAATCTTGTGTTTAAATGTCAGTGCTTCTGCTATTACTCTTGGCAACCAAAATAAAAGGACAGAACACTGACGGCAGCAACAAAGAATCGGAGTGCGTTTTCATCTCAATCTACGAATATCTAACATCGGAAACTTTCTCAGCGCGGAATGAAAATGCGCGGCGCCGTTCAAGAAGGCACGTGTGTTTGGCATTCAGTATCGTGCATTACTCATCTATACAGGGTGCTCCGAAAGGACACCGAGATTTCGTCTATCAATTCCTCGACTAAATTTCAAGTTGGTAATTTCGATAAAAAAATTATATCGGATACCCCTTTTTATATTTTATTTTATTCCGCATAATTCATATTTCCAATACCTTCTTATGGTTTTTATTTAACTATAAACCTGTCTTCCATAAAAAGAAAAAACTTTAATATATTTTATCTAAATAATTTCGATTAATTTAATAAAGGAAATATCAAATGCCTCTTATTTCGCTTATAATTTGAAAATTGTAACGCCATACTTGTCAATTTTTGAGCAATGACCTCTAATTGTTCAAAGAATCTGTGGCACAAAAGTTTACCGTCATCATTCTCAAACACTCCGTATATACAACTGTATAAGCATAAAACGTATACATAGGTAATATGGACGTACAATATCGCCATGTGAAAAGGCGGAATATATAATTATTAACCAGAGCCGAGGATCGCGTCAGTAGAGATGTTAATATCATGAAAGTGCATTTCTGCGAATCGTTCTCGATTTCTTTGCCGAGGCTAGGCACTCCATTAACCCAGAGACTGAACCGACAACGAATCGCGATCATTATCAAAGAGAGTCATTCAACCAAGTTCAGATACATATAAAACAGATATCGGATGCCAGAAGTACGCCTATACATACTCGGTGATGCGCGTGGGACAGCTACTGAACCAGTGGCGGCTGTTGACGCACCGGCCGAACGGAGCGCGGTATCAAATTGGTGATACAGATATCGTTAGCGTCGTAGGAAAATCAATGGCGCGGTTACGCGAAAATCATTTCTCCATCGAAAGGACATCGCCTCAACCTCCCCGGTGGTTTCCTTCTCCCGCAACGGAAAACTTTCTCGAGATGCAACGATCTCGCTCGCGCGCTCGCTCGTTCCTTCGTTCATTCGCCCGCTCGCGTCGCGGTGCGTA